AGAGAGAGAGAGAGAGAGAGAGAGAGAGAGAGAGAGAGAGAAAAAAAAAAATCATCACGTGAACTTTTGGTTTGGGATGACCTTATTCTGATTCTTCCAACCCTAGGTTGGATGGAGCCAGCGACCGAGCTCCAGGCTGGGTGTTCCGCCCGGCAAGTAGCAAGTTGACGGGTTCAGTCCATCAACTCGCAAGGTGTCAGGCGTTGGACCTCTGACCTTTTATGTCATGCAGTGTCACACCTTGCGCCTAGCCCCGAGTATGTATTTTCGGGGGGGTGGTTTTTGTTGTGTGAAATAAATAAATGAATAAAAAAAAAAATATATATATATATATACTATAATATATATCCTACCCCTTAAGCGTGAGCGGCCCGCGGGGGGAGGTGTTCCGCTGCGCGTCGGAATCGGGCTGAAGTTTTGATTCAGGCCGGCGGATGAAGGCGATTGAGGGAGGGGGGGCGTGGAGAGCGGTGCGCGCACCGAATTGTTAACAGCGCGCCAGAAAATAAGAGAGCACGCCCACGGGGTCCTGCGGCGGCGGGCGTCGATGCGAGGGAATATCTGGAAGCGTCCGTCGTCCGATAGCAAGAAAGTGTCGTTTTGCGGCTCGTCCCTTTTTCTTTTTCAAACTACAAATAAATTATATTAAATAAGTCTTTTTTCTTCCGTTTCTGTTTTATTCTTCTGTCGTCTTCTTTTGCCATTTTCGGCGGCCGGCGTCAAAAGAGGTGGCGCGAACGACGACAAAACCAAGGAGTTGTGCCCACCCACCCACGCACACACACACACTAATATTATATATATCAGTATTTGAAGTTCATTCACAGTGGTTGGGTTGGGGTTCGAACCCACGCACAGATTTTGAAATACCCAATTACCCGATGAGATAACCACTTCGGTGGACTGGGTCCCTATCTTCTTTTGGGTACTATTGTCTGTTGAAGTGTATCCGACGTAAGGCTCCTGGTACGTCAGGGTGTGGTCCTGTGTGTCTGAACCGTAATGCCATACAATGTGACCCCCGCCGGCCTGAAATGGACTTTCCTGGCCTTACGGACTGGGTTCTTAGGGGGGGCGGCGACCGGTTGGCGCACGTGGGTCCGGGCCAAACATTTTCAAGCACGAACTTTGACATTTTTTCTCGCTCAGACAAATTGGCAAACAAATCTGAAAATTTGATATCCTGTAGATTAGGCCGTGATCTTTCCAGGAAAAATACCAGAAAAATGCAAAAAACAAAATTAAACGGTGAAGTAAATGCCGCGCCGTTTCGTCACATTTTCAATTTTTGCTACTCTACCACGTATGGGCCAACGGGAAAAGAAACCCAACTTCCGCGATTTTTTGCAATCAGTAGGATGACCCACCAACTCTGAAAATTGACGGGCTATAAATTTGGTTGTGATCTTTACAAGAAAAATATTTAAAAAAATAAAAAAAATCATTTGAACCATGAAATCAATGGTGGGGGTAATTCGATGCATTTTTGAATTTTGCCACTCCGCCAGTTCCCCCCACTGTACTACCGTTAGCCCTCATGGACCTGTGGTCCCGTGCTACCGGTTCCCCGTAAATTTTTTTTATTTATTTTTTTAAAGGACGGCGGTCTTGAGATATATCCACAGGTAACCGGCCCTAGGTAATTCGAGATTGTTATGGAAGTCATTATTGTAGATTATATTATATGTCATGATCATGACTTATTGAGCTTATGTTATGACAGGTATATTGAGCCTCTTGAAATATCGTGAAACTGACGGTCTCAACCTTGATAAGCATCATAATTATGAATGCCAGCTATGATGATTCTGACTGAGAACTCAACCTGAGAGGTCTTTTTACTGGATATGTATTGGGTGTGTCTCGACCGGCCGCAACAGGACCTTTGCATCCACTTCCACTTGGCCCGATGCTCCCGCATTGCAACGGGTTACAGGCCGGCACAACTCGCCCCAGCGAGTTACCAGTGTTGACTGGCTGTGGCCACCAATCCTTCTCAGGCCACTGAAAGTGACGGCAATGGGAATAGAACGTAGCACCTACGCGGTGCCGCTCAGGCATGAAGAGCACGGACAGTAGACTGTCACTGTGTCTCCCGACGGACTGTTGTCTCCTTCTGATTTGTTCGCATCTCTGAATATTTGCTTCTAAGTGTGTATGTCACAGCCCTCCGTCACTGTGTCTCCCGACGGACTGTTGTCGATGTCTGCCGCTTCTGGGAACATAGTAAGCGGATTCTTCTTTTTGCCTTACGGTGGCTATGTTAGAGTTGTTATCCGGTAACCTGATTGCTAGCGATGTCCTGAGATAGGACGTTATTTAGCCGAAAAGATACTTTGTCCGAGCTTTGCGCTTAGGGATGAGGCGTTATTTTTTTGTCGGTATACGAACTTGACTATTGAGAAGAGGTACTTTAGTTTGGTGAAGATACGTTAGACAGTGTTTCGTTTCGATTGGGCGGTGGCTAAGGTGCATTTTCTGTTGCGACTTACCTGACTAGGTGGGTAGAAGTTTGTACATCGACTCAGTATGAATAACGGAGGTAATACGGGGAACGGGGGATATGGGGGTAGAACACCACTGACGTGCTATGAGTGTGGGAAACCTGGTCACATCGCGCGTGATTGTTGGTCCAAACGAGGGAGACCTCAACAACAGGAAGACGAGGTACATACGTTTGTAAGGGAATTAATGGAGGAAAAGAAGGAGGAACGGAGGAAACGGGCAGAGGAAGAGCAGAGGCGTTTGAGGGAAGAGGAGGAAAGGAAACAAAAGCTCGACATAGCGAGAAGGACAGAAGAGATGAAGCTTCAACTCCAAGCGGAAATTGAAGAGAAGTGGAGAAAGCAACAACAAGAGGCAGCAATGATAGCAAATGAGAACAAACAAGGAACAACTAAGGACATTAGCCCAGTGGTCACCAGGAACGCTAGCCTGAAGTTGTCACTAAGGAACAAGATAATCGTGAAGGAGAAGACTAAGAAGAGATCGAGCAGGCAGTCCAAGAAACGAAGAGGAGGGAAACGTGTTGTGGAGACGAGTTCGGACATTGACGATAGCGGAACCACTTCCGATGATTCCAGTGAGGACACGGACGACGAGATTCTGAGAATTGCTCACAAGCTACGAGAAGAGAAACAGAGGGCGAAGGCAAAGAAGAAGTTACCCAAGAGTCGTTCGAAGATAGAGACCAAGACGTTTGAAGTGGGTGAATGCTTGCGGCATGTGGCATTGCAACACCGACAGCGACCGGCGGAGAACCAAGAACACCACTCACCGGTGGCTACAAAGGAATGGCCGCAGGATGTTAACGAGATGACCTGATCGAGTACACACTGGCCGTACACAAGGAATACTCTGCGAAGAAGGTGTCGCAGTTACGTGAGTTGTGCGAAAAGGCGGGTATAAGATCGACGAAGAAAGACGATATGATAGAGGGGCTCATAAGAAGACACACTGAAATAGCATAGGAAGGTTTCTTCGACACACCCGCCGAGAAGACCGAAGAGAAGAAGGCCACCCAAGAAGTGCAGGAGAACAAGACACCTCCAGAGGTCGTCAAAAGTACGGTGAACACAAGGGGGAAAGGACGGATGTTCGTCCCACCGAGGGCCATTCTTAGATCGGCTCCGGTCGATGAGTCTGGTTTGGGGTCTCAATGACTCGCTTTGCCCCCTACAGTCAGCGATCTATGGAGATCCTTGCGGATCGACATGGAACAAAGATGGACCCTACGGGAGCGGGGTATCGGTGGAGAGGAAGCTGCGGTGGTCGAAAGACGGATCACTTTGTCTGTTATGCTGCTTGGGATGACCGGCGAAATCCGCTGGCTGTCCAAATACCTGGACAAAGCAGAGTTGACGGAGGACCTACTCGAGCTACAGAGCGGTGGCACGTACGTAATCGTCAGCCCGTGGCCAAAGAGGACATATGTGGGATGTACAACTAGGCCGATCATCCACAGATGGCGTGAACACGTGGCGGCGGCGAGATCCAACGCACTGGGTAAAGCGCCACAACTGTATCGCTGGATGCGAACCTTCGGCGTGGACAAGTTCTTGGTGGTGCCTATTAGGCACACAACGGAGCAAGACGACTTCGTCTTTGAACGGTATCTAATCCGGGAGCTTTGTCCAAGCCTGAACATGCTAGGTATGTCCAGACGGCTGAGTTTGAAGATGAAGAAGTGAAGTGGGAAAAGAGAACGTTAGAAGAAAGGACAGACGATAATAGGCACATCTGTGGTGGCATTCAGGACAGCACGAGGCAGACGGACGCCCATCCTGAATTGGCTGGAGGAGAAGAAAGACAAGCCGGGTGAACGTTTTGAGATCGAGTTTCTTCCAGGCAAGCACTGGATTGATGACTGGAAGACGCTGGAATCGAAGTTCGGCGCATCCGAGATCCTGATCGGAGGAAGAAAGATGACTTTCAAGGAAGCGAAGAGATTATGCCAACAAGGTGGCATAGCGATTTTTCTGAAGGTCCGGAGGACAAATACGACCACAGAACGGAACAAAGTGTTTTTGAGCAAACTGTTAAGTCAACCAGGACGGATGTCTTCGCTCAGGGGTTTCACGACCGCAAAATTAGACGGTTTGTATAGGACTGCAGGGCTCTTCGGGAGGAAGGACACATGCAACAAACTGAAGATCACGCTAGATAAGGTGATTAGACAGAAGACAGGGGTGAGCGTTCGGAGAAAGGTGACTGTCAGATACCTGTATAGTGATTGCGTCCTCAAATCGCAAGTTAGGAAGATCACCGAGAATGTGGTAGAAGCGAAGGTGACGGAAGAAGCAGTAGCGGGTTTTGTGAAAAACAAGGTGAGGATAGTGTGCACAAAGAACAAGACCGTGGGTGACATCATCAACAATCACAAAAACTATGCACACACTGGGACAGTCGTGTGCAGGTGTCAAGAGTTTTCTCTCGCAAAACAAGATGGACACGTGTTGACGAGACTGTTAGAGGTGAAGGATGTACCTGATTTCGTGCGAAATGCAAAGAATGTGACCAGACCAGATAGCACACTCAGTAAGAAGAGTTTGGAGAAAGGGATCACTGACGCGACAGCACACCTGAAGGGTCGCTGCCAAAAGGAGGTTGATGTGGACTCGTGTTACGGGGAGAGGACCCGGAGTAATGACGTTTGGACAGAAAGAGAGGTTAGGACGTGGATAGCTAGGTACGACGGTTTGGTGCTGGCACCCATCGACCGCAACCCAGGGGATATTGCGCTCATATGCCCGGTTCTGTATAGACATGGGTTTGGAAAAACCTTTGTTTGGAACGCAGACTACGAGAAGACTGACAAAACGGAGGAAGAGATCCTGAAGGTCTGCAAAGAGGACTACGCAAGAGCCGGCCTGGGAGCCGTGGGAAAATGGAACGCAGCTGGAAAGCTTGGAAGAACCTACGTCATACCGAAGGACAAAGACCTCCAGCGGTGGAGGCCCATTGCACCAGCATGCACAGACCTAGCGGGGACAGGGCAAAGGAGATGTGCCAGAGCTTTACACTGTCTGGTTAGGAGATTCTCCAGGAAGAACAGTTTCCATTTTGGCTCAACCTATGAGATGAAGGACGAACTGCAACCAACAGAGGAGTTGTTCCAGAAGGAAGGGTACACCGCGGTGATATAACGATGCTACGATATCAAAGAAATGTTTTCTTCGATATCATACGCTTCAGTCGTGAGCGCAGTCTCAGAATTGCTAGCCCATTTCGAGGAAGATGGGTGGAAACAAGTCAGAGTAGCCATCAGAGGTAAGCTGTGTTGTTTGTCGAATACACGGCGGAAGTAGAGTGGGTTCATCTCGGTGGAGTTCGACCAAATCAGGGATATGGTCACGTACGATCTGGCACATGCATATATGATGTGGGGTCACATTGCACGAGTGCTAGGGATTCCCATGGGGAAAACCTCTAGCCCGGTGTTGGCCACCATCACCTGTGCCATGGTCGAATCAAGGTTTCTGCCATCACTCGGACAAGATAGGAAGCTGGTTCGTGGTTGGAGGATGGTCGATGACATATCTATTATCGTCGGTTGCAACGACGAGGCGGCATCGCACGACAGAGCCGAACAGATTCTGGAGAGTTACGAAGAGACATACGATCGTGGACTCAAACTCATCCGGAAGGATGAAGGCACCAACACTTGGCAGTTTATAGGCGGTAGGATGTATGTTACCTCGAAGCCGGTCCACATACATTTCGTGCAGGAGACAAAAAATGTTGGGCCACTCCGTGAAACAGGAATGCTACGCTACCACTCGATGCAAAACTTCGCTAGCTACACCGAGAAAAGAACGAAGAAAGGAGTGCTTTTGGCTACTTTGAAGAGACTTTGGTTCTCTTCGACATCTAATGCTTTGAGCATAAGCTCGGTGGCGTATGCGATTACGGAGTGTATTCTCCGGGGCTACACCCCGGAGGTTTCACTAGGTGCCTTGGCCAAATTGGCCAAGGTTACGGGCTACAAGGCTCTAAGGTTTCTCGCGATCTGTTTCCAACAGCGGCTCAGCGGTTCGGAGCGAAGACAAAACTTCGAACGCGGACACCCGACTGGTAGTCGGTTGGAGAAGGGTACGGCCTGGCAACAAGCCCGACAGCGGGCTATAACTGCCTGACAAGATTTAGACCATATTTCATACGTTTTGGTAGCTTTTTTGGTAGCCCTTTTACCCGTACGACGGGCCTTTGTTTTGATTGTTTGTTTGTTCCCGCGTTTTCGGGTTTTTCAGGATTTTTCCAGGATCTCCATCTTCATTTTTCGTTTTCGCAACTTCCGAGTCCCGTACGTCGGGCCTTTATTTTATTTTATTTTATTTATAAGTTTGTCTCCGAGTTTTCGGGTTTTCAGATTTTCCCAGGATTTTCAGTTTCATTTTCATTTTCATTTCGTACAACTTTTCAGTTATTTTTCCTCGGCGGTATTCCGAGTCCCGTTTGAAATCCGACTTCCAGTTTTGTCGATCCAAGACGGACCGCGGGGAGGTAAGTACGAAAGTTTGAGAGTTCCGAGGAGGAACTTCCTAGTGGAACGACGGGTAGGAAAGGACGAGTTTCAGGATACCAGGTATATAAGACTAAGAGGCAAGGCATTCGGCCTCTTTTCGACTAAGTTCGTGAAGCACACCTTCCTGAAGATTTCGCTGAAGCAGGCGGATGAAACCGGTATAAGGATTCTGCTTGTCGTGTACAGGGAGATCCAGCTATGGTGACGTGGGTCGTTGTGTCGACGTGAAGTGAAGCTTGTTTTCTAATGATTCGAAGGTTGAATTTCAAGGTATCCTTGTGATTTGTTCGCATCTCTGAATATTCGCTTCTAAGTGTGAGTTCCAAGGTGTCCTTGTGATTTGTTCGCATCTCTGAATATTTGCTTCTAAGTGTGTATGTCACAGCCCTCCGTCACTGTGTCTCCCGACGGACTGTTGCCCCAGTCTGCCGCGTCTGCCGCCACTCCAAACACCTATTGACCGAGCCACTCCAACCACCTATTAATCGAGCCACTCCAACCACCTATCGACCGAGCCACTCCAAG